CATCGAGGACTCCACGATCATCATTGGCTCTTTAGGCAAGACAAAGTCTTGGTGGTGATACCTCTGATCACTTCACTGTCTTGATTGAACGAATCATCTCTCCGAGACTTGGTTGGCATTGTCGATCCACGGAGAGGTGCACACACCCTTGGGATCATGGATCAGGATTCTGTAGCAATCAATTATTGAAAGCAACGCTATGGTCACTCGATTTGTGTCGATGCTAATTGGTGGGCGACTCCCGTGCTTCGTACCGCAATGCATCTCGAGGAAACAAGACAACGGGGAAGAGGAGCGTGGTCCACGGTCAGGCTACTCAATACCCAAAGTAGAAGTAGACAGGGAGTTGGCCCAGTGGGTTGACTGCGTATTTCATGGTAGCACCAGTCTTAGCAGCCAGGGTCTGTTTTCATCTTATATTATGCGAGATCCTCAATTCGGGGTTCCACAAGTACTGTACAGTTTATAGGTATATATATGCTCAATCTTTATGTTCTGGGCTCGTGCGTGATATGATCCATTCTCAGGTGTGACAGGATCCAAATACTGAATATTCATAAAGAACCAGAAATCTCGCCAATGTGTTCTGCGATACGAAAATAGGAGATTTCAATCATAAACTCAATCATTATTGTTTAATCCTCATGCAAGGTAAGGTAAGTGGGGAAGGGGGCTTGGGGGGCTTACCCTCGGGACCTCGGTCCCGTAGGCGGTTTCCCCGCAAAAAGGAGCGTTACTCCGCATCGGACCACTTGATGTTTGCACTACCACCATCAAAACACATAACTACGCCTGCCATACTACCTCCTGAATCTCGCGTCGCTCAAGTCAACCAACTTCCAGCAGAGTATCTCTTGACACATATGTTAGGTTCAATTCGCGCTGACTGAATCGGATCGCAAGCCCTAAAGAAAGAACTCCCCCCATTTCGTTCTCCGACCGATCAACATGGGCAAGAAGCCTTCAGGTCCCGCCTACGTTCTGGGAGTTGGCATGACCAAGTTCATAAAACCGCGTGGCAAGGTTGATTATCAAGAGCTGGGTTTTGAAGCTGGGGTCAAGGCTATGCTGGATGCCCACATCAACTATGACGAGGTCGAGCAAGGGGTTGCATGCTACGTGTACGGAGATAGTACCTGCGGGCAGCGCGTCTTTTATCAATTTGGACTCACGCAGGTTCCCATCTACAATGTCAATAACAACTGTTCCACAGGGTCTACAGGTTTGGCTATGGCCCGAACGCTGGTCTCTCACGGGGCCGCAGACTGCATCCTGGTTGTTGGCTTTGAGAAGATGAGTCCCGGTAGTCTCCAGTCGGTCTACAGCGATCGCGCAAACCCGACCGGCCTGTTTGGCAAAATGATGGCCGAGACTAGAGGAGTCACGAATGCCCCAGGTGCAGCACAGATGTTCGGCAACGCTGGTCGCGAGTATATGGAGAAGTAAGTGTGTGGTCTGGAACCGATCGCTGCTAAGTTGAAAGGAATGAACTAAATTGTCACATGCAGGTATGGTGCTGAAGCCAAAGACTTTGCCAACATCGCGCGGATTAACCACGAGCATTCTAAGCGCAATCCATACTCCCAATTTCAGGACGAATATACTCTTGACCAGATCCTTAAGTCGCCGATGATCCACGCACCTCTGACGAAGCTGCAGTGCTGTCCAACATCTGATGGCGCGGCCGCTGCTGTGGTCGTCTCTCAAGCCTTCCTTGAGGCGCGTCCCCACCTGAAAGACCAAGCAATCCTGATTGCGGGTCAGACGCTCGCCACTGATCACAGCTCCGTGTATGATCGCAGCTCTATTGACTTGATGGGATTCGGCATGGCTCGCAATGCGTGCCGAGCTGCAGCAGCTGAGGCGGGAGTGAACGTTAAGGATATCAAGGTGTGCGAGCTACACGACTGCTTTTCTGCCAACGAGATGATCACCATTGATGCACTAGAGCTGTGTGAGCCGGGAAAGGCGCACGAAATGGTGCGACAAGGCGACATCACATATGGTGGAAAGATGGTCATTAACCCTTCTGGAGGCCTTATCTCCAAGGGTCATCCATTGGGGGCAACGGGCTTGGCGCAATGTGCAGAGCTTGTTTGGCACCTGCGTGGCTGGGCCAACAATCGCTTAGGTGACGGCACAGATGTCGCCCTTCAGCACAACCTGGGGTTGGGAGGTGCCGTCGTGGTCACCGTATACAAGCGAGCAGATGGCAAGGCCGCAACACCAGTACCATCGGAGACAGTGGCAAAGATCACGGGGCTTGGATACAACCCGGCTGTCGAAGCCAAGGGCTTCACAGCAGAGCAAGCTCGATCAGTCCAGAGTCGGAAACATAGGGACAAGTGGGCGTTGGCCGACACGCAGGACCGGGTGCTGGCGCGGTTCTAACGCTTCTAGCTCGAAGGATGTGTATAGGGCAACTGTGGGCACTGGGGGTAGATTATAGCATTGTGGATATGTAGCACAGTACAAGCTGTAAAGCTAAGCCATTGGACTATTGGTATCGACTGATGCACTTTCTCAAGTTCCTCTCAAGTCTCAAGTTCATGCCATGCCCTTGTGTGTAACCGCGATCCTCTCGGCAGCACGTTGCGCCGCGCGCGCACGCGCGTAGCTGACATAAGCGGGTGCGGTCCACCGCGCTGCTTAAATTTTCGCGCATCTTCACAGTTCAACTATTTTCCTTCTTCTTTTATCATACCAGGTCTCCAACATACCCTTGCGGATAGATGCCCTTTGGCACGTTCTGTTTGCAAATTTTAGCTTCGAGACCAAGAGCGAACTTTTCGCATGCTCGTTCTAATCCCATCACGTGGCGCAGGGTTGGTCTAGCCATCTCATCACGCTGTAGTTGGGTTCGCTTTTGAGCACACATCCCTTGTTTGAAAAACCCGTTACATCGTTTCCATGCCTTCGCATATCCAACAACTCTTATCTCTTATAGAGTTGGATGTTGCAACAAGTCTTGCGTGGTATGAGAGCTTGAAACTAGCTCGGATCCTGGAAAAAGATGATTTTCCTCGATTCGCCTGTGTCAAGCCATGCTCTCTTGCTCAACCTTTCTTGTTTTTCGTTCTGTGCGCACTAACCTACAGGATATATCGACACGTAGCCTAGACTGCAAAAGGCACTTTCGAAGTCTCGTCCGTCATACTCTCCATGATATTCGAGGTCAAATTTGTGCCAAAATTGAACCCCCTGGACTCTCTTGTCCAATTTTCTTTCTCCCTCGTGTTGCGTCCGCTGTCAATCTGAAATGGGGCGGTACGTGTCAAAGCAGGGAGGTACATTCAAACCCGTAGAAGTGTTATAAGTGGTCCTGTTCCGTTGGCTCGCGCTGGCAGAAAGCAAGCTTGTAGAACAGTTCAACATTAAACCTGAAGTCTGCCAGCCATCCCTGACGGAGGGAAGAGAGGGTGCGGTGCGCGTTGCAACCATTAGTTATCAGGTATGCGCTACGGAGCGAGTCAGCAACCGGGCCATCCTTGTGGAACAAAACCATCCCTTAAGATTCGATCGAGGGAGGTGGTTATGTCGTGCAATTCCTAGGGCAATCATGGCCAGGATCAGTATCCCGCTTGGAATGTACAGTACGTACTCAATTGACTGATAATAAGCTTCACAGGGCGCGGTGCCTGGCTGAACCAAGGCGGCAGGAGGCTGCGGTGGCGTGGATCAATGGTAACTTACTGATGGTGTGCCCGCCCCTTGCATTCCTGCAATCAAGGTGCATAACCATGACTGGCTTGCCGCGAGGTGCTGGTGCATTGTCGCACGGGGAGGGAGGGGCGTCGAGTCTTGAGAGGGTGACAATAGAAACTCGGATCTTCAATTCCAATGCTTTGAGGAGGCGCGAGTGGCCGCACTCCCTATGATCGCCCTCCACTCCTAGTTGGAAGGCCCTGGCAAGATGCCAGTTATAAAGCTTGACTTCATCTCTCCTCCCTGTAGAAAACCAGGAAAGTGTTCGGATTCAGTTTTACAGTCGTCGTTCGGAGGTCTTTCTCTTTTTCTTCTTTCCTTTCCAATTCATTGTTTGTCAACCTTGGCTATAGATCGCCTCGTCTAGTACGCCTGTCCACTCTTTAACTTTCAAACCCCCAATATTTTTTTGATCTTAGCAAATCGCAATGGCCCGCTTCAGCCTCTCCGTCCTTGTGCTCTGCCTTTTCATGGCCTTGATGGCGTCCGCCATGCCTGTCAAGCGCGACGATGTCGCCAATGAAAACGACTACGCTATGCAGGGGATCGAGGTAAAGATCCAGCCCTAGATATGGCTTCGAAGGCGTATGCTAATATCTGACTCAAGTCTGCCGCCAAGATGATGGAGGAGATGATTGAGAAATACAAGGAAACCCAGGAGGCGAACGACAACTCCAACGATGCCTCTTCCGCAACCGCCGACAAGACTGAGAACCAGAACGCTCCGATGGAGGATGCGAACACGAGTCCTTCTTCCACTACTCCCACTGAGGCGACTCCTGCTGCCAGCGCTGCCGCCCAGTCTCCCAAGCCTAGCAAGACTCACATCGTGAACGACAACCCTTTTGCGAAATTACCCCTTGTCGGCGGTCTGCTGAGCGGCGGTGGTCTCCCCGGTCTGTGATGCCCCGAGGGTGCTCGCCCGGTGCCGGCATAGGCAACTGCCGGTAAACCCAAGTTTTGGTGTTAAAGTCTTTGTTGTTACGGTGCTATGTATGAGGCATGATGATTGTGAATTTTCCCACCTTAGTTTTTGGTTTGCTTGGTGGAGCTCGTTTAGTCGCGCGAGTTGGTATCCATAGAATACTCGATAGGATAGTTAATCCGCAAAAAGAAATAAGAATTCAGTGCTATGAGACGAAAATGTCGGCTATGCAGAAATACCCCGTGCGAGTCAATAGGCAAACATTCGCTTATGGGCGATTTCCGTGATTGCAACCCATGCATGGGCAACATGATAGCTCTGGGTATATAGTAGTGAAATGGTTCGCCATGCAGTAAAGCCACAGGATTGTTCAGGAACCTTGATTTTGATTTGCTCGCTGCTGCCCTTCATAGAGACCGGTATAGTATCCAGCATAATACCAGGCCATCATGAGATTCTTCAAGCCTTCATCTTGCACTATTCGCCGGCGTCAGTATCTTGCTACCAGCCCTGATTTGAGTACCACAAGAGCCTTACCTTGTGCTAGAGCAGCATGAGGCGGAGGCACTGCTCCTGCAGGAGTGAAGCCTTGGCCAGTGGGCGCAATTGTTGGATTTGCAGCTGCGGATGTCTGCCCTGTTGTCTGAAAGAAGTGAGCATATGCAGCCCAGAAGATGGAGTTTTAGACTTACCTTCGAGGTCTGAAGAGTAGGGGCCTGTTGAGAACCGACAGTGACTTTTGCTTCAGCAGGAGTTGCATCAACTACAGACGGCGGTTCGGCGTCATGATCCATGCTATCAACCGCTCCATCCGATTCTTGCGCCGGTAAGACATCCTGAGAGCCCGCTTCAGCCTCTGCCTCTCTCAGTACATCATCTACATTCTCTCCTCTTGCCTGGATGCTGTGATAGAGCTGTCGTGGTCGTCGTTAGCATTTGAATCACGTGCCCCCAACAGAGGAGCTCATACTTTGTATTCCTCGACAGCTTCATCCCAACTCTGGACCAGCGCAGAATCATCCCAGATCTCTTCTTGTGTCAGTGGCCGATTTGCATTCTTAGACTTTCCCATGGCATCGAATAAGAGGCAGCAAAGAGAGGGGACAAATGAGGATAAGATGGCTGACTCCCTCCAGATAGACTGACTGGAGTAGTCAGCGGCAGCCACGCCGAGTGAAATTCACTGATGGTCGGCCGGCCGGGCTCGAACTCACCGCTTGGCGGCGGAAAAATTGCGAGCAGAAAAAAAGTTTCCCGCACCTTTTCGCAAAGCCCGCCGATTGTAGCGCTTCAAACACCAGCCTACATTTCTACGCCAGATCACAACAGGATGGCTCCGGACAAGAAAGACAAGAAGCGCAAGGGTATGTAATTTTTCTCTTCCCTGCTTGTTGCGCTAATTGATCCCCTGCGACTGACCACTGACAGCTGCCAACGCCGTTGCCGCCGACTCGCCCGCAAAGAAGACCAAGAAGGTCGACGCCAAACCTGCTCAACCTCCTAAGGAAACTCCCAAGCCGGCTATCAAGAAGGCCAAGAAGACCGAGGCACCTGTCAAGGCCGAAACTTCGTCGAAACTGAAGGTCAACGGCGAGCCGGCTAGACAGGTCAAGCCCCGTAAGCGTGCCGCCGACTTCCTCAGTGACAACGAGGAGAGTGAGCCAGAGGCAAAGTCTACCGAGGTCAAGGCTAGCAAGGAGAAGCCCAGCACCAAGAAGTCAAAGAAGTCAGATGGGACCGCCGCCGCTGCCACGAAAGAAAAAGCTGCCAAAGCGAACACCAAACCCAAGAAGGTCGAGCCTGTTGTGGAAGAAGATTCTGAGGATGAGGATGATTCTGCCGCCTCGGATGTAAGCCAGCGTGAGGGTGAAGAGGATGACCGCACAAGTGCTCTGATCCGCGGCTTTGAGAGCAGCGGTGACGAGGCCGACTCCGACGACGAGGGCTTCGACCAGAGTAAACCCCTGCCCAAGATCCCCGACTTGAAGAAGGCGCAGCGCAAGGTGAGGAAGCAGCAAGAGAATGCCGGCCAGTCAGAGGGGCCCGGTACGATCTATGTTGGGTTAGTATTAAGTACTGCTACTTGTTGTCATCGCACGTCTAACCGCCTTATTCTCAGACGTATTCCCCACGGTTTCTACGAACACCAGATGCGTGACTACTTCAACCAATTCGGTACTGTCACCCGCCTGCGTCTTTCCCGTAACCGTACCACCGGTCGCTCTAAACATTACGCTTTCATCGAGTTCGATTCGGAATCCGATGCTAAGGTCGCTGCGGCTACCATGGACAACTACCTCCTGTACAAACACCTCCTGAAATGTAAATTTGTCCCACAGGAGCGTCTGCACCCTGAGATCTGGAAGGGCGCCAACAGACGGTTCAAGCGAACCCCGTGGAACAAGATCGAGAAGAGGCGACTTGAGCAGGGCAAGACGAGAGAGCAGTGGTCGGATCGCATTGAAAAGGAGCAGCAAAAACGGGCGGCCAAGGCAGAGCAGCTGAAGAGCATTCTGGGATATGATCTGGAGCTTCCTCAACTGAAGAGCGTGGACGAAGTTCCTGTGCAAGAGCGCAAGGCTATCGAGGCCGACGAGCCAACAGCCGAGGAACCTGCCAAGACTATTGAGGCTCCTAAAACCGAGGAGGTCGAAGCAGTGAAGGCCGTTGAAGATACCCCTAAGAAGACCAACAAGAAGGAGAAGAAGGCAGCTCAGTCCCCTGCTGTGCAAGAGACCGCCAAGCCATCAACGAAGAAGACTGAAGCCGCAGCCTCACCCGCCACTAAGAAGGCTAAGAAGACCGGCAAGAAGGTCAAGGCCAAGGCTACCGCTTGATTCTTTCATTCTATCTAAAATGTCATTGTTGTGTTGTTCATCGCATAAAATATCGCTCGGAGTTGATTGATTTTAATTGTACATGGTTATTGTATTATTCGCTAGGCATGAATAAAGGAATATCCGTATAAGTTTGTTCCACCTCCATGCAAGTCACAGGTGCCTTTCTCAGCATGCAATATGAAGTCAGGAGTATTCCGAGGGTCTCAAGCCAGCAGTTTGAAACCGATCTTGTGATTCGCAGTTTCACCTCCGACCAGTTGGCCGCCTGAGGCCAACTGGTCCCACCACAGTCACATGATCTACACTAGGCTGTAACCAGCCTAGCCGGGCCCACTGACTACCTCGCATAAATTTGCAGCTACGGTATTTCTACCATTTGATTTTCTTTTGTCTCTTTCTTTCTTCCAACTCCTCGCTCAAAGAATCGCATTCGAAGCTCACACACAGAGAAATCCCCTCGGGGAATTCTCTTCAACCAGCTTTTGGGAAAGTCCCCGGACACCCTGACTGTTTAAATCGTCCCTTGTGGGCCCAGTCAGGCAATGCGGAAACGCGCCGCCATAGAAGCAATTCGATAGCGGCTTATTGCCCTGTTCCCTCCCAGTGCTCGCATTCGTATCCGACGTCGGAAGAGGTCCTACCCTCTCTCGGTGGAAACAATGGCGGTACGGGCTTGTGCTGGAGAGGGGTTTTGATCTGGGTTGCCTTTCGTCGTGTTTGGATAGTCATGCGATTGCTCACGACCGAACCCTTTTGGGGATTGGTGGTGGGTAACTCAATGGGGCTCATTTTTGAGGCGAGGAGTTCATCTATGCTTTTTTTCATTTTCTCTCCAACGAGTCTGTAGCTTATGGAAAGCGGTGATTACGCAGGATCACAGATGCTCTGTCGAAGGAGTCGGACTCTGCACTTTTTTTTCTGTTCGTGTGATGATATACCAATCATAGAGTCAAGCCCTGAGATTCCGTACTACGGTATAGGAGTTTTTGACGATAAACGATTGTTTTCATATCTGATGAGCATTTGATATCATTGTCGCGTCACCTAGTTCATTTGAGACTTTACTTTCTTACAATAATCACATAATATCATGAAGATACACTCACTCGAATCCGAGTTCAATATTCGCCAAATGAGAGAAATAATGAGAGCCATTATCATCACCGTCATTCCATTTTATACAATTGTCCTTTTTGCTCATCCAGTAGTCTCGCTTAAAACAACCCCTTTCTCCCCCGTCGTCTTCGTGTCCTTCATTGCCCTTTCTTCTCCTCGGCACTAGCACCAGCAGGAACAGGCTCCGCCGCTCCGTTATCCGTTTGCAACAGCAATGCCGTAACAATCTCAGCCAGAGTGGTGATCGCCGTAGCACAAACATTACTCCAAACCTGGATGCTCACGGACCCGAAAGGCGCGCGGGGGAACGACAGAATCCAGGCCACGTAATACGGGACCCAACCCTCCGGCAGCATGAAGACGGGCGTTTTCGAGTACCAGAATTGCAGGAAGAACTTGAGGCCACTTGTACCGACCCAGCGGACGGCTTTCACGCCCCAATCGAAAGATGATTTCTGCGACGCGAGCTCCTTATCTGAATTGTTTGGTAAAGACATAAAATGTGTCAGCTTAAGGGCTTCAAAAATAGCTTGCGTGGGTGCGTGGGTGCGTGCATCACTCCCCTCCATGGCTCTGCTACGACACTGCAGCAGAAGAA